GCTCCAGACGTGCAGGCTCAGTAGTTGTGGCTCACGGGCCTAGTTGCTCTGTGGCATGTGGGATCTTCCCAGACCAGGGCTCGAACCCGTGTCCCCTGCATTAGCAGGCAGATTCTCAACCACTGCGCCACCAGGGAAGCCCCAGCACACTTTTATACACCGGACGTTTCCACTTCCACTTTCACCTTTCTAGGCTCCTGCACTCGGTGCCTGGTCCCTGCTGCCATCCTAAGCAGTCCTCTCCCCCACCCTTCCTAGGAACACTCTGGAGCTTCATGTACACAAAACAGGACACAGACTCCAATCCTCAAGTTGATCCCTGGTGTTGTGTGGTCTTTGCGGCCCTTGCAGCACATAGAGAATGGAGAGTTCTAGACCATGTCCCTCTCTTTATCCTCCTTCCTGAGTCCCAGGCCTCTAGGAAAGCTCCCTCCAGAAATCCCATGCTCAGCCCAAGCTCAACAGGCCTGCCTGGAGCCCTTTGTCAACCACCAAAAAGAATCTCCTGCTCCCCAGTCACACAGGTTCTAGAACCATCTATCTTGATGCCCATCATCAAGAGGGACCTTCCTCTCTATTTCCAAGGAACTTGGGTTCCCAGCTGGAGCCCCATGGCCTCATGCCAGGATGGCTCCCAACGTCCCTCTTTGCACCTGTCCTGGCAGGGGTGACCCACCCCTGCTCTGTCCTTGGAGGTCCTCTGGTGTCTAAAAGCCTCCACCTGGTTTTGATGCTCCTGTTACCCAAAGGTATTCCCTCACCAACCTGCTTTCCCCACCGGGCACATGCCCCTCACCTTTGGGACATTCCTACACCTCGACTCCCCTGCACAGCCCTGCAGCGTTTTTCTACTTTCTCAGGCTGCCATTCCTTCTCCCCACTGTTCAGTTGTCCAAGACTTCATCAGTCCTCTTGGTGAACTGGGGTACCAAGAGGAGGGAGCAGATGAGAAACAAAGAAAACCACATATGCCACCAGCAGTCTCTGATCTGACTTCTGAAGAGGACCCAGAATGCACGCAGTGGGATGGAGGTATTGCAGAGGGCGGAGGGCCTCCAGTGCGGGGTCAGGGCAGCACAAACCTGGTATCATACGGGGGAGGTCCTGCTAATTATCATATAATCATGGGTCATGCTGGTCCCAGGTAAGTCACTCACCCTCTCTGAGTCTCTCTTTCCTGTCTGCCTTCCTTTCCTTTCCTAATTTTCCTGATGAGTCATACAGGCTACATGCTCTGAAATGGCTTTGTGAATAGCAGAGCCTTCTGCGAGTAGGGGGCTGGGGGGCCTGGGGTGTCATCAGGCCTGGTGTCCCCGGAATGGCCCTCCTCGCCTGAGCTCCCCACTCCCGATGGCTCCGTGCCTTTATCAAGACAGATGCTTTTGATTCCTTGGCGTTCTAACGGATTCAACATGGTCTTTTCCATGCGATTATGAGCACCTTGCAATACTTTGTGTGGGTGGCTGTCTCGAAGGCATGGCGGGAGAAACAGAGGCAATACCCTTGCTGATTTCTGGGTCCTTCATCACTGTCATCGTCATCCCCACCATCCCTCTCCTCAGCATCTGCCTGGGGAGCAGGGATGGGAGGACCCCTCCTAAGGTTGACCCCCTTCCATAGCTTCCTTTTCTCTGTATATTAGCTTAAGGCTAAAATGTCTTTAATTAACATATTTTCATAATGTCCCTAAAGCCACAAAGTTCACACCCCCAGTCCTGGCTCCTCTCCCCTTGGCTTCTCCCAGCCAGTGCTGCTGCCCCCAACATGTCTTGGTAGGGGAGGAAGAAGTACACTAAGGCATGGTCAGCTGAGGTGGCCCCTAGGGGCCTAAGTTCCTGCGTGGCTTCTCTCACAGCCGCCCTGAAGACCTCCAAGGCCCCCGACCGCAGCTCCCACCCTCCCACCCACCCACCCCCTTGCCACCGCTCATCACACACCATGCATGTCCTTCAACTCAAGACATGCCTCTTTCACCTGGCACCTTGGGCTCACTCCCCCAATGCCCCTCACCCCAGCATCTGCCCTGCCCACCCCTTCCCAGGGGCACTTCCCTGTCTCGGGGGAACCAGAAAGTCTGTTCCGCATGAGGGAACCCATGGGAATCAGCTTGTAACCAGTCTCTTCCCAGACAAACGGCCGTGAAAAGGTTTAACACGGACCACAGAGTCTGTCTCTCCCTCAGCCTTTCAGCCATTTCTAACCAGAGGGGCTGTCCCTGGCACCCCTGAGGCTCTCCCCAGGCAAGGAGGGAAGCTGCTGGACACCCCGTGGACTCCTGCCCTCCCTGGCCAGGGCTGGCAGCCTGTGCAGTGTCTCTGTGAGGTTTGGAAAGGGCCGACCCTTAGGCTGGGGCAGACCCCAGGATGAGGGCAGGCAGAGCCCCCTGTTTTCCCAGGGGGAAGCCTGGAGAACAGAATGGGTGGATTCCAGCTCCCACTCAGCCCCGGGGTGGGGCTTGGTGCAAACTCTCAACAGCACAGCACAGTCCAGGCCCCTTCCTCCTCACCCGCAGGTCTCCGGGGTGACCCCTTTAGCTTCCAAAGGCGGGATGAGGTCATGGCCTGGGTGTCCAGCCCTTGGGCAGCCCCCTCCCCTGAAAAGCGAGGGAGGGAAGGAAGAAGGGAGGCTAGCCACCTGCAGCCCTGCCTGAGGCCGGCACACACCGGGACCACCGCGGGGCTCGGGCTGTATCTCACTCACCTGGTGTCGTGGATGTGGCAGCGTCGGACGCCCAGAGCCAGAGAGCCATTGACAGGATCCAGGTCGCCAGCATCTCCCTGAGAGTGAGGCCCTGGGTGTAGGATCTTCGCACATCAGAAGAAACTAAGAAACGAGTGCCTCCCAGGGAGGGGTCAACCATATAAAGGAGCCCAGAGACCTTTGCCTCAGGAAGGACACTGCCTGGCCCCGGGTGGAGGTGAGACGATGGGGTTGGTGGGTGACACGGGGAGTTGGCCAAAGGGCAGCCGGTCAACCCTCCTCCTCTCTAAGAGACCTGAACCTCCCTCTGCGGGATCTCTATAGTGTGGAAGCCAGAGTCATGGGAGGGGCAGGGCAGGAGGAAGGGACAGGCAGCAGAGGCGTGAGTGCGCGATGGTTGCCAAGATGCGAGGGCCAAGAAACCCAGGGAGACGGTGACTATGGAGGGAGGGTCAACAGAACCCTAGAAGGAGCTGCCAGAGGGACCAGGCCAAGTGAAGGACCCTCCGCCCTTACTCCCAAGAGGCCCCCCTTCGGGTCTTCCTTCCTCATCACCCACTTCAAGCTGGCCCCTTCTGAAGAAGGGCAGTGCCTTCCCCCGGGCCCCCTCTGCCCACCAGCGCTTCTCCTGGGTGGGACTTCCACTCGCACCTGAGGCTTTATGGTCCTGGTCTCTACCCGCACACTGGCCACTGTCAGTCTCTCTCCTGTCCTAGACAAAGGTCCCGGGGGTCGTTCCAACACCCCCACCTGGAGAACCTCGTTCTGCCAGCCCTGACCACCCTCAGCTCAGTCTGACAGCCTGCTGCTGCCCACAGAAGTGGAAACAAGAGGGCCCCAGCCCCCGGCGTGGCAGGCCCTGGCGTGAGTGTCTCTGCCACCCAGGTTTGCAGTCTCAAGGTCTTTGGGGATGCCTGACTCACCTAACAGCGCCAATGACAGCTGGCTCAGCTGGAGTCACCCACCTCCCTGACTCAGCCGTAAGCTCTTAACGTCAAGGGGCACAGATGACAAACCCAACAGGCTCCCACCACCTGCTCCCACCCATTCCCTGAGAAAATGGGTCCTCCAATCTCGACGTTCCCTTTGAGGACAGTCGTGGTCCCTGAGAGCTGCCCACGGAACCCTTCATTCCTTGCTGGGAGAAACCTGTGCTCCCAGGCCCTCCTACATCTCCTGACATCCTTGTTCCTCAACCGAGTGGAAGCACCAGAGTGTGAGAAAGAGAAAGACACAGAGCAGTTTCTTTTACAATAAATGCTATATTATGTTCAGTTGGGAGAACGGGAGACTTGCAGACTTTCTGTCCCCAGGTGAGTGAGGTCTTCCTGCAAAGGAGGTTGGGGGCTTCTGTCTCCAGAGGTTATTGCAGGGATGGGGGTGAGACCAGGGAGAGGAAGGGAGGAAGGGGTGGGGAAGGGGGTAGGAATGGGGGGAAGCACTGAGGGAGGGGAGGGAGAGTTAGGGGAATGAGGAGGAGGTGCTGGAGGAGCTCTCCCACCTCAGGACCCCACTTCCTCTCATCCTCAGGGACCTGGGGGTAACAGGAAGAATGGAGCCTCATAATGGGGGACCTGGCCTAGGGAGCACCACCTGGGGGTCCTAAGATGCAGAGGGCATCTGTACCTAGCTAGGGATGGGGGGAGAAGAGGAGGGAGGATTTAGGACTGGGGCACTGAGATGCGGGGGGCAGGGGGGTATTTAGGGCTGAGGGTACAGGGATGGGGAAGGGGAAAGTACGGAAACTGGGGGAGATGCAGGGCTGGGCACTGGGCTGTGGGGGAGAAGTGACTTAAGAAGTGGGTTCAGAGGGGAGAAAGTTTAAGGGATGGGGGCAAGGGGTGCAAGGGGAGTTATATAAGGAGAGGGTAGGAGGATGGGGTGGGCTGCAGGCTGCTTGCATGTACAGGGTGAGGACCCGGCAGTAGGGATGCCCCAGGAAAAGGAGAAATGGAGGCCTGAGCCCTGGGGAAGGACATGGGGACTGGGGATCTCAGAGAAGCCATATAAGCATGAGGGCCGACACAGGAAGGTGCGCTGGGACAGAGGTCTGACCAAGCACATCTGGTTTTCACAATAATCCCACAAGGTATTAGGACGAGTGGGCCACACTCTTTTTTTTTTTTTTTTTTTTGCGGTATGCGGGCCTCTCCCCCTGCGGAGCACAGGCTCCGGACGCGCAGGCTCAGCGGTCATGGCTCACGGGCCCAGCCGCTCCGCGGCATGTGGGATCCTCCCGGACCGGGGCACGAACCCATGTCCCCTGCATCGGCAGGCAGACTCTCAACCACTGTGCCACCAGGGAAGCCCGGCCACACTCATTTTACAGGTGACAAAACCGAGGTTCAGAGAAGTGACTGACTTGCCCAAGGTCCCAGAGTGGAAGAGCCTGGATTTGAACTGGGTCTCCAGGTGGGTTTCACACAAGTTGGGAGAAGGATAGGGGTCAGGGGGGAGTCTGATGCTGCCCAAGGAAACCAGGAGACTGAGCCGCAGGAGTTCACAGCCATCTCTTCAGAGGCAGTGCAGATGGTTCCCTGCACTGTCCGCGGCAGCGTGGAGAAGGCAGTGTGGAGGTCACAGAGAGGTCAAGTTCACCTCAGGTTTGTGGAAGTGCAGCTGCCACAGAATTTGTGAGACAGGCAGTGAGAAGAGGAAGCCACCCAGCAGAGGCCGGCTAGAAGGTCACCGCCTCCTTGTCCCTGCCCGGCCCCTGTCCTGAGAAGGGGGGCATCGGGAACTGGACCTGGGAGCACTCCTTACCGCCACCCCACCTTGCCCCCTCACCGTCATATTAGTGTCCACGTTCTCCAAGGCCACATAGAAGTTTTCATCTTTAAATAGAGAGAAAAGAGAACGGGCGTGGGGGGCGGGGGCGGTGGTGGGGAGAGGGAAGATGTGGGGAGCAAAGAGGAGGGAAGGAAACGTCAGGAAGGCAGGGCCAAGGGGGGCTCCTGTGCCCCTGCGCCTGCCCTGCGGGGACGGCCTGTGCACGACCTGGGCCTTAGAAGGGGGCGCGGAAGCCACGAAGCAAACTCTGGGAAGAGGTATATGCCTGTCTTGGGCAAGAGAGGTCCTCCTGTCCTGCCCAGGCCAAAATGGTACCCAGGGAAGCCCCCGTCTCCCTTCCCCAGGAGACAGGACTCACCTGTTCTGTCATTCTCGAAGCCCAAGTTAGAAAAAGTCTTCTCGGTGTTCTCATCACAGGTCTCGAACCACTTCCTGTCGTCCCAGGACCTGCCAGGCGGGCGCTGCATCGTCAGGGCAGGGCCGCCCGGTCTGGGACCCCTTTGCGGCCCTCAGCCCTCCACCTCCAGCGCACTCACAGGTCTCCGCCTTGGCCGCGCCTCCTCCACGAGCGCGCGACGAAGACGCTCAGCGCCCCCAGCAGCAGCAGCAGCAGCAGCGCCGCGGTCCCCGCCAGGCCTCCGACAAGCGCCTTCCAGGAGATGGTCACCTCGCAGCGCGAGCCCAAGAACCAGTGCGTGTCCGTGGAGAAGCAGCTGCGAGGAACGTGTCACAGGTCACACGCCCTCACCACCTTCTGGGTTTGGTCCGCTAGTGCCCCTGGACCACGCAGGTACTAGCAGGTGGGTGACCCGGGGGCCAGGGGGCGGGGCCTCTGGCGGCGCCGGCTGAGCGGGGTCGGGTGATTGGCTCAGCTGGCTGTGGGCGGGGCCTCACCGGCAATAAGGACCGCTCCTCTGCAGAACGCACTGGCCCTGACGACAGTCGATGGCGCCGTCCACGCCCGCCGTGCATTTGGTGACACAGAGGAGCTTGTTCTCCTTCACCAAGGGGAAGTAGAAATCCTCGTAGCCCACGGCAGCAGCGTGGCGACAGATGGCTGGGGGATAGGAAGGGGGTTGCAGAGGCAAAGACTTCATCCACTCTACTCTGGGGCCAGGCTATGAAATGACTCTGAAAATGGATGAGAAGGACTACATTTCCGAGGGTGGGGTGTCGAGGGGTAGACCTTGGGATTAGATGAGGGAAGGGCAGGCCCCTCACCCTCTCCTCACCTTCTTTGCTGGTCCTCAGGTGGAAGCTACTAACAAGGGCCAGGCAGGCAGCACTGCCGGGTCCATATCACTTGCCTCCCCAGAAGGTCTCCCCATCCTCCCTAGGGAATTTCAGTGGACAGATGTCCCTTGTGGGAGGGGTCATGGCCTCTTGGAGCCACTTAGCCCTTTGCCCAACCTCTCACCTTCCTGGGACAGCTCCGTCCTGGTGGTGTTGTTCACCTTGATGGAATCAGGCTTAAAACACAAGACTGGGGGCGGGTGGGGGAGACACAGAGGCACAGGTGGAATTGGGGGGAGGCACAGGGAGGGGCAGAGAGGGCTCTGTCAGTATGGAGGAGGTGTGAATGGGCAACAAGGGAAGACCCCTTTGGACTCCCTCATGTCCCCTGAATAGTCAGGGGTCCTCAGCCACCCTGGAAACCTTGAGCAGAACTGTCTCTTCCACAGCACCCAGGTTCTGGTGAGCCCCTCCTTAGCCCCATCCTTGACCCAGTTGGCTGGGGACCTGTGTCTCTTCTCCCAACCTGCCAGAGGTACCACAGGTCTGGCACCTGACCCCAGAAGGACCCTGTCTGCACTGGAGCAGGCTGGGATGGTGGCTGTGACCCTGGCCCCTCCCTGCAGCCCGAGGCCCCCATCTTCTGCTCACCCTGTGGAGCAGGCTGGGACGGTGGCTGTGACCCTGGCCCCTCCCTGCAGCCCAAGGCCCCCAGCTTCTGCTCACCCTGGTCCTTCCCGCAGCTGCTATTCTGGCTGAAAGTCTGGAGCTCCTCCTTCAGGGCCACTTTCACATTCTCATACTCGCTCTCCAGCTGGAGGCTGAAGGGTAACTCCAGCTGGACCAGGTAGTCCACAACAATGCTGCCATTCCTGAGGGGGGGCAAGGGGGCAGGGAGCCTTAAAAGGTGCCCAGGCCCAGGCCATCATAGGTCCGTAGAAGGGCACTTCCAGACCAACCACAACTATACGGGTGTTGGCAGGAAGTGGGCATTGAGCTGGGATTCCAGACACATTATGTCCAGCACCTCTGCCTTTATCAGCCTGAGTAGGTGGGACAAGGAATGATTGACATTCTCTTGGCATTGCCTCAAGCCATAATCAAACCAGGCCCTCCTGGGCTCTCTGCCTCCCTCTTGCTGACCCATCCAGCAGACCAGGTGCCAACTAGAGAGAGACCAGCTATAGACCAGATACCAGGCACCATCCCTCATGCACCGCCTCCCTGTTTGTCCCACTGAATCATTCACCTTCCAACATGCTTTGAGAGTAGGGGTGACATCCCTCCTACAGAGAAATGACTCCAGAAAATGACTGAAAAATACCCTCTACAGAGTGCTTCGTTTGCATCCTCACTCCATCCCTCTCTTTATGACATCTGACGATTCCAAAAGCAAAGGATGTCTTCTCCAGCACTTCTTAGTTCATCCCCCCCACCACTTGACACTGTCTCCACAGTGCCAGAAGGGTCTCCTACCTCAGAGAAAGGATCACCACCTCCTTGAACCCCTCCACATTTTGGTAGACCTTCTTCATCTGAAATGCCAAGGATCCTGGGCTCACATCTGAACATCCAGACCAGAGGGTACGCAGGGACCCAAGCTCAACTCCAGGGGCAGACCTTTGAGTTCCCTCCCCTTCCCCCTCACCTGATCCCGGAAGGTGTCCGTGAAATCCCTATAGGCCTTAGAAGTGTTGTCATTAAGGTCCGGGGAGAACTTCTGGTCAACAGAAACCTCCATGCCCACTTCAGCGTCCACTTTGTCTGCACACAACATTCCCTGCTCTGGTCACTTCACCATCCACTCCTGTCTGATATCACCACTACCACCCTGACCCAGAGGCTAATCCCGTGGCCCCTCTCCATGTTCCCTGAGAACTGACTGAACAGCAGGAGGGAGAGAGGCAGGAATTCTGGAATGAGTTGTCCTGAGATGTGAGAAACACTGAAAGTCAGGATGTCCAGCAGTCAGGCCTGTAGTCTCTCCCACGTCTGCCCCAATGGGAAGCAGAATAATGGCCCCCAAAGATGCCTATGTCTAATCCCCAGAACCTGGGAATATCTTATGCTATATGGCATGAAGGAATCAAAGTGGCAGATGGATTTAAGGGTACTAACCAGCTGACCTCATTATGGGAAAATTAATGTGGACTATCTGGGTGGTCCGAGTATTATCACAAGGGTCCTTAGCAGTGGAAGAGGGAGGCAGAAGTCAGAATCAGTCAGAGGAAGATGTGAGTATGGAAAACAGGCACAGAGATGCAAAGCTGTTGTCATTGAAGATGGAGCGAGGGGGCCTTGAGACAAGGAATGTGGGCCACTTGTGAACCTGGAAAGGGCAAAGAGATGGATTCTCTCCTAGGGCCTCCAGAAAGAACCCAGCCCTGCCAACACCTTGATTTTAGCCCTGCGAGACTCATGTCAGACTTCTAATGTACAGAATTGTACAATAATAAATTTGCAATGTTCATCTGCTAAGTTTGTGGTAATTTGTTACAGCAGAAATTAGAACCTAATACAACTCGAAGCAGCCCAGACTGGGAGGAGGTCCCAGGAAAGAAAGTGGTCCCAGCGACCTCCTGGAGGTGAGGGTGGAGATTAGGCATGGTATGGGGTAGGGGAGAGCATGAGGCAGAAAGCAAGGATGAAGGGATTCAGCAAAATGATTGGGCCCATTAGAGTCAGTGGCACCTCCCGAGAGAAAGTGCAGAGAGCAACTCACCCACATCTATTTGTTCCGCAGCAAACTCACAGCGGGAGCCAGAGAAAGTGCTGGGGCAGGAGCACTGGCTCTGCATCCAGGTGCCACCATTGTCACAAGTGCCTGGGGAGCACAGGAAAACAGGAAGTTCAGGACAGAATTGACCTTGGTCATGGGAATATAGCAGGAGAGGGAGGAGAGGCCACATGGAGGCAGGAGATCCAACCTGGGGTGGTGGTCAACCTAGACTGTGTGGTCATCTGAGTCGTGGTCAAAGTTGTCCTGGGTGACGTAAGGGTGGAGAGAGTCTTGGTGGTAGCCGCTGGTATCCCTGGAGCGCTGGTGATGTGTGAGGTGGGGCGCGTCAGCTTGCTTGAAGTCATCATGGTAGTTGAAAAGCTGCTACTTGGTTTCATGGTCACTGGGAGGCTAGTGGAGCCGGGCACACGTGGGGTAGTTACAAAGTTGGTGCTGATCCAGGTGCCACTGGTGGGTCTTTGTGTGCTCGTGAAATCCGTGTTAATGGGGATGGTTCCAGTGCTGATAGAACTAGGCGCATCAGTCATGTCAGTGGGGTCAGTTTCGAAAACGGAAGTAGAAGTGTCCGTTTTTGCAGGGAACACAGTTGTCCTGGTGGTGGAACTGGGATAGGTGGCCCTCTCAGTAGTAGAGGTAAAGACTGATAATGGGATGGTGGGCGTAGAAGTAACTTCAGGATTTGGACCCACTTCTATACATGGTGTAGTGGGAGAGGCAGACACTATTGTAACCGATATTGATTCTGGACATTGGGTAGTGGAAGAAAGAGTCAACATGGTGGTGGTTTGGGTAAGACGACTGCTACCATTTTGGGGAGAAGTGGTGAGAGAAGTTCTTGCAGTTTCAGATGAGGAAAAAGTAGGAAAAGCAGTGACAGAAGACCCTGTGATGTCTGTACTGTAGACATGAGAGGAGGTAGGAAAAGACTTACTTGTCGTAGAGACCAGTGAACTTGTGCTGATGGAAGATAGAGATGATATTGTTATTTCAGGTATTGAAGACGAGATGATGGTACTAAAAGGGGTACTTATTGCATTAGTAGAAGTAATCAATTCAGGGAAAGGTGTTGAGGGAGAAACACTTGAAGTACTGAGAGCTGTTATTGAGGTGCGTGCTGTTACCACGCTTGTGGTCCCACACTGGGCTACTTCTGTAGTTGAGGCTAGAATGGGAAAAGTGGCTGTGATCGAGGTGACAGGAGCTTCAATGTGCGTGGGAGTGGTGATTTCTGTTGTGGACCTGATGGGAGGAGTGGTGGGAGTTGAAGGGCCAGAAGTTGGGTGTGTAGCGGGGATGGTGGTACTCAGGGTGGACATAGGGCTAGTGTTTGCAGTCGAAGTGGAGACTGGCTCTGAGGTTGGGGAAGGTGGAGGGGAAGATGGGATGATATTTGTGTGGGTGGGTGAGGTGCTGGAAAGAGCGAGTGTGGAGCTGAGTTCGCTGGTGGGGGTCAATGGACCAGTGGTACTCAAGGATGTGGACGCAGTGTTCGCTGGTGTCATTGTTCTTCCAGTAGAGAAATCGGTTGAAGACGTGATGTCTGGTGTACTTTGTGGTGTTACTGATGTGGGTGTCGTTACTGTATCTGTGGTAGCAGTCGTGGTTATTTGTGTTGTTGAGGTGACGGGCAATCCTGTTGTTTCCGAGGTGGCAGGTGTCGTTGATGTGGGTGTCGTTACTGTATCTGTGGTAGCTGTCTTGGTTATTTGTGTTGTTGAGGTGACGGGCAATCCTGTTGTTTCCGAGGTGGCAGGTGTCGTTGATGTGGGTGTCATTACTGTATCTGTGGTAGCAGTCTTGGTTATTTGTGTTGTTGAGGCGATGGGCAATACTGTTGTTTTCGAGGTGGCAACAGATACAACTTGTGTTGTAGGTGTTGTTAATATATCATTTGAAGTAGGTTCTTGAGTGATAGCTGTGGATGTCTGAAAGGTACTGACCATGTCTGGAAATGAAGTGATGGTTGTAATCAAGGTGCTACGGGTGCTGATTGTTGTTAACAAGGTTTTCCTAGTAGTTAGAGAAGGGGTAGTAGCAGAGGTAGACACGATTGTTGGGGTCGGAGACTGGGTTGTGTGGGTACTTGCAGCGGTAGGGATAGCCCTTTGTGTGGTACCAGTCACAGAGGAGATCGGAGTGTCTAGAGTTGTGTGGGTTGTTGGGACAAAGGAAGGGGGCGGGGTCATGGTTGTGGGAGATTTCCCCGGAGTGGTGGTACTGGGAGAATTGGTCACGGCTGAAGTGACTCTCTTGGTAGTTGTCACGGGATAAGTACTGGTAATGGTTGTCCGTGGCTTCTCTGTCACAGGAGTGGTGGTGTAAGAGCTGGTGAGGGACACTTGGGTCTGTGTCATGCACGTGGTGGTGGGGTAAGTGGTAGTGATTACAAGGTTCGTTGGATTGATGCACTCTGTCGTGCCCATATAGACAATCACGGTTGGTGGAGTGGTCTCAACCTTGAAGACAAACTTGGACATGGGGATTGTTGAGGTGTTGGAATTGATTGGCGATTTGAGCAACGTTTCAGAAATGGATTTCAAGTGGGGGGAGGTGGTGATAGTCATAGGTATGTGTTCCCTACTATCTGGAGTGGGAGAAATTTCAGAGGTACTCAGTGGCCGCCTTGCTGGGCCTTGAGAGTGTGGGGAGTTGCTGAGAGCCGCGTGCAAAAGCGCATTAGAGGTGGATGTGGCCATCGCTGAAGCCCCTGTATTGGCGGTAGAACAGAGGAATTCATTGGTAGGTCGTTTTGTCGCCATAACACCACATACCCCATTTTCCAGATACATGCCACAGAGGTAGGACGTGCCACCAGTTCCTCCCAAATCAGAGGCAGTTTGGGGCTGGGGTCTTTCAAGGTTCTAAAGGCCAACATATGTCTTCCCCCCTGGGCAGCCTCTCCAAGGGGCGTTGGGTTGGGGGCGCGCTTAATCCCTTGCCCACCTGTCTGAGTACTGACCTTGCAGCCCTGGGACGGCCGAGCTGAGCACGCAGGTTCAGCAGAAGGTCCCGTCTCCTCCCATCGGTACTCCCATTCCTTCTTCCTCACACACCCCAAAGTCCTTGTCCCTTCCGGTTCTCTGCACCACCCCCGCCCCCTCTGGCCCACCTCTGCCCATCTCCCTGTGACCCACTGCTGTCTGGGCTGACTCTCCTCTTTGGAGAGAGAGAGAGAACCCAGCCAATCCTGGGCTGAGGGTGGGGACACATCATGGACTTTGGGAGACGAGGGCTCAGAGAGCAGAAAGTTGCAAAGAGAATAAAAAAGGGAAAAGCAGAGATTGAAGCTCAGACTTCATTGAGTTTGAGGACAAGGAGAGAGGATCACACACAGGCTGAGGAACAGGACAGAAAAGGAAATTTCCAGAAAGAGATACCTTGGCAGGCAGGCGTGAGTCCTGAAGACCTTAAGGTGTAGCAGTGAGTGTTAATAATAAAAATAGCTATATTTTCCATCACCTATTCTATTTCGGCCAAGGAATTAATTAGTTTACAAATATGAGCCCCTCCCTCTACAGATGTTGTCATCCCCATCTTACAGGTGATACAAGTGAGAGTCAAAGATCTCACAATGCTGAGGGTGACCGGCAGCCACGGCAGCTGCTGGCAGGAAGCACCCAGACCTCTGTCCACTCGGGGGCAGCTTTCTCAACTCAGACTCAGCACATCTTTGCTCTGAGAGCTGGGGTTTCACTACTCAGCTTAGCTGGGGTGTCGGGGAGATAGGGGAGGGGAATATGAAGGTTCCTGGCCCAGAGCCCTTATAGCCAGGAGGTGGCCCTGGAGATAAGCGAGAGGGTGGACCAGAGGACCTCTATGTTGGGAAGGTCTAAGGTTGGGGTTCAGGAGCAGACACTGGGGGGCAGAGGGAAGGGAAGGGAAGAGGAATTCCGAGGTTCCAAAGGGGTGGGAGAGAGAAAGAGCAGGACCCCACACCAGGTGGTCTCAGAACCACCCTTTGGGAGCCATCAGGCTCTCCCCGCACAGCCCTGCCAATGACAGCTGTGCCCAGAAACATAGGCTAGGTCGGGGTGGGAGAGTTAGGGGCAGGACTGGAGGAGGGGGCACCGGGACCAAAGGTGTAGACTCCCCAGAGAGAGGAGGGGGCCCCAGGGGCAGAGCCAGGGACCCTCAGGAGGGCTGAACCGATGGAAGTAAAGGGAGGGATAGAATCCAGGGCGGAGGAAGCATCAGTGCTGGGGAGCAGGGGCAACAAGAGGAAGGGGGCTCAGAAAACTGAGTCAAAGTGGGAAGAGCACTCTTTCAGAAACAGTTTATCCCACCCTTTTGATGCACGCGCGGACTCGGTCCCAGGTGTAGAGCAGCACTGCTGGACCCAGCTTCCCTCTCCTCCCCCTGCCTACAGCTCTCCCTGCACAAAGAGCTCTGAGAGGCCCCTCCTCAGCCTCCCCTTAGATCTCAGAGCCACCGCCCCACACACACACCCCTGTCCTGGAACATCAGGAGGGTCTCCCCAGCCCTCCCCCACCTCGCTCCCTCACCTGTGGCCCCCAGGGAGACCTTGAGCATCCAGAGGAGGCAGAGGACCCTGAGCAGCTGCATGGATCTGGTGCAGAGCAGGCTGGAAGCAGGACCAGCGCCAGCGCACGGGGTATAGCAGTGCAGAGCCAGCCAGCACGATGTGCGCAGTAGCACCCAGCTGGAAGTTATCTGCCCTGCTGGGTGTGAGGGCTGAGCATAGGTAGCTTTACCTTTGTACCGCCCTTTGCCCCACTGTTCCCCCCTTCTCCCTGTATCTGGCACTGCTGCAGGAAGAAAGGACTTTCTAGAAGATAAGACAAGCCCAGGAAGTGTCAGCCCGGAAGAGCTCCACCCGCAGCCTGCCTGGCCCACTCACAGCAGTTCCCAGGACATTGCCCTGCTCTGCCCTTCCCTTGCCCCCAGCCAAGAACTAGAAAAACTGGACAGAGAATACGCTTGGCCAAGACCTTGGACGCTGGACTCTGGGGCCTCTCCTTAGTTTCATTCCCAGCTGCAGGGGGCGGGGAGAGATGAAAACTTGTTCTTCTTCACTCCCTCTGCCACTCACTCTTCCCCGTCTCCATCCTGCCCTTAGCATGACTCTGGGGCTATGACCCCACCACCAATACCAGGGAACAATGCAGAATTCCATCAGAAGTCATTTCAATATCTGAGGACTTGGGCCAGGTCCCAGAGAAGGAAACACAGATGGCTAGTGGAAACAATCAAACAAAATGACTAGCTTGGACCAGCAGATGAGCAAGTATTAGGAACTTTGATTCTATCCAGTGTTGGGAAAAGTGGAAAAATAAACACTCTTACCCAGCTGGTGGGAGTGTAAAGGGGTTGTGCTGGTTTAAAAAGGCAATTTGGGGACTTACCTTGTGGTCCAGCGGTTAAGACTCTGAGCTCCCAATGCAGGGGGCCCAGGTTCGAACCCTGGGCAGGGAACTAGATCCGGCATGGCACAACTAAGAGCCTGCATGCAGTAAACTAAATGGTCTACAGTCCACAACTAAAGATCCCACACGCCGCACCGAAGATCCCATGTGCCACAACTAAGACCTGGCACGGCCAAATAAATAAATTTTTTTTTTAAAGAAAGGCAATTTGGTGGCATCTGTTAAAATTTTAAATGCATGCTCGAGGACCCAGTAATTCCACCTTTCCGTCTCTGTGTTCAAGAAGCACTTCAAGGAGGCATTCATGAGAGTGTTTATTGCCATCCAGTTTGTCGCATTTCCGATAGAAATTGGAAACACCCCAAATTGCCCTCCATAGGAAACTAGAATGACTATGGACAAATCACACTATAGGCTACCACGTTCAAATAAAAAATAATGGTACCATCATGGCAAGACTCTTGGAACGTCTTGTTCAGTGAAACCGGTAGAAACAGCTTTCTTAAAACGCACACACGTATGTCTCCTATGAATACACACACACACACACACACACACACACACACATACATACGTAAGTGCATTCAAACTTCGGAAGGAGGCTCACCTACTCCAATAACAGGGGTAAGTTTAGCTCAGAGAAGCATGAATGAATTAAGGTTGGGAATGATTGTCAGGCCACTTTGGCTGTATCTGTAGTTTTTCCTTTTTTCCTTTGACAAACATTATCTCCTTGACCAAACTCTAGCCTGGCTCCTCTGAGTCCCCCTCCTCACTAAGCCTCAACCCTGAACTATAAAGACTTGAACAGATACTACCATAGTTTCTAACCGCTCAAGGCCCCATCCCTATGATGACCCCAGCCCTCCTTAAAGTGCTTGCCTAAGAAAACTCAAGGCTGTCAGAAGACCTTACTCTTTGTTCCAGCCAACACCTGAAGACAGGGCTCCTGTCTCCTAGCCTTTATGGAGGGTAGGAGCCTAAATTTATAAGTGCCAGGTAGCAAATCGGGATGGGTTTCATGTGGACCACTCACCTCTTTTTGTAATTTTTCACTTTCCCAACACTGCTGAGCCCTTGCCTGACCTCTTGCCTACACCCTTACTCTCCCTTTAAAATGTCACTTCTGTGCAACTCGAAGTAGAGTTCACTTTATGCTGGACTCTTTTTCCTATGGCAATAGTATATTATGGATTAAAATCTGTCCTTACCCCTTTAGTGTCTGGCTTTGTTTACCTTTGACAACTTGGAGACTATGTGATTTTTTTTGTTTGTTTGTTTGGGGGTTTTTTTGCGGTACGCGGGCCTCTCAGTGCTGTGGCCTCTCCCATTGCGGAGCACAGGCTCCTGACGCGCAGGCTCAGTGGCCATGGCTCACGGGCCCAGCCGCTCCGCGGCATGTGGGATCTTCCCGGACTTGGGCATGAACCCGTGTCCCCTGCATCGGCAGGCGGACTCTCAACCACTGCGCCACCAGGGAAGCCCTATATGATGGTTTTTGAAGGTAATTAAAAAATAATTTAGAGGAGGATTCTGGGGAGGTTGTGGGCTAGGACACACCAGGAATCCATCTCCCCACCAAGACAACAATTGCATTAGCAGAATCTGTCTGATGTAACTATTTCAGAATTCTAGCGTCTGTTGAAGACTTGAAACTTCCAGGGGAAGACCTGGATGGTAAATTGCAAATTTCAGTTAATTTTGGTCAAGTTTAGCACAGTAGCAGGTACCCATTCAACACCTCCAGCCACATAGCAGGTAGCTATGCATGTGTTCCAGGAGCTGCTTGCACATAGCTTGTGGTAGGCAAAAAGGACTGTGTACAAATATCAGGGATCTATGTTCTAATTCACTGATTGCTGCTTCTGATCACATAAGTGCAGGAAAACAGGTAGATAGCCACTGTAGTTGCACCTCCCCCTCCATTCTTGCAAGAACTTCCCCCTCCATCTGAAATGACTTCTGGGTGATTTAAAGGGCCAACACCCCTCCCGCCCTTCATTTTTTGCCTTCTCCCCTTTTGGGATTCAGACATTAAAGACTAGGACATTCAGAAACTACTGCATACATGGGGAAAATTAGAAAGTGGCCATGCATGCCCAGGGGAAGGATTAAAAAAGACCTGAGAAGACCTTAATCTGCACATTATTCTGATCCTTGGCACAGACACAGACCACAATGATCAAAAAGTAAACAAAAAGAAAACAAAAAACCCGGCAGACTCTAGGGAAGGAGAATCTGATCTCCGGAGTTGCCACACTATCAGATTCAAATGTTTATTGTTCAACGAATAAGAAACAAAATGTTAGCAAACCAAATTCAACATTACATTAAAAGGACCACACACCATGATAAAGTGGGATTTATTCTAGGGATGCAAGAATGGTTCAATATCTGCAAATCAACATGATACACCACATTAACAAAATGAAAGATAAAAATCATATGGTCATCTCATTAGACGCAGGAAAAGCACTTGACAAAACTCAACAACTTAAGAGTTTTTAAAAACCTCTCCACAAGGGCTTCCCTGGTGGCGCAGTGGTTGAGAGTCTCTCTGCCGATGCAGGGGACGCGGGTTCGTGCCCTGGTCCAGGAAGATCCCACACGCCGCAGAGCGGCGGGGCCCGTGAGCCATGGCCACTGAGCCTGCGCATCCGGAGCCTGCGCATCCGGAGCCTGTGCTCCGCAACAGGAGAGGCCACGACAGTGAGAGGCCCGCGTACCGCAAAAAAAAAAAAAAAAAAAAAAAAAGTTCATACTACCTGAAGCAATCTACAGATTCAGTGTAATCCCTATCAAAACCCCAACAATGTTTTTCACAAAATAGAACCAAAAGTTCTAAAATTTATAAGGAACTACACCAATCTGTTCTCTGTTTCAATGAGCTTTGGTTTTGTTTTAGATTCCACATATAAGTGAGATCATACAGTACTTGTCATTTTCTGTCTGAGTTATTTCACTTAGCATAATGCCCTCGAGGTCCATCCACGTTGTTACAAATGTTGGGATTCCCTTCTTTGTATGGCTGAATAATATTAGATTGTGTATATATATACCACGTTTCCTTTTCCATTCATCCATTGATGGACATTCAGTTTCTTTCCATGTCTTGGCTATTGTAAATAATGCTGCAATGAATATGAGGGTGCAGGTACCTTTTCAAGTTAGTGGGTTTTTTTCCTTTGATAAATACCCAACAGTGGAAATGCTAGATCCACTAGATCCATTTACTATGGTAGTCCTACTTTTGATTTTTTGAGGATCCTCCATACTGTTTTCCATAGTGATTGCACCAATTTACATTCCCACCGAGACTGCACAGGGGATCCCTCTTCTCCACATCCTCTCCAACACTTGTTGTTTCTTGTCTTTTTGATAATAGCCATTATAGCAGGTGTGAAGTGGTATCTCATTGTGGTTCGGATTTGCATTTCCCTGATGGTAAGTGACGTTGAGCACGTTTTCATGTACCTGTTGGCTATCTGTGTGTCTGTAGTATGTTTATGATATAGGAATGTCATGGGTAAAATGTTTTCAATATAGTTTTTGAAACTTCTGTTTCCATGTGAAATTTGTTCCTTGTGAAGTTTTTTCCATTAATTAATATCCCCCTCCCTCAGCCCCGCTCATCTCTCCTTCCTTGTTTGTTTCACGTATCCATAGTGATTCCTAGGATAGAATCGAGTGCCTAGCTCACACTATTCAGGAACCGAAGATCATAAGATGCCATTCCAAGTGGCAGCCAGTTCTGTTCTTAACTTTCATTTTGACAGTTTTATTTTATTACCACCGTTTCTATAAATCCATTATAAGGTTTATGATTTAATGCAAACACTCTAGCCTGAGAAAAGAAAGTGTGGGGTGGGGGGGGGAGGGAGAGAACAAGAATTTGCCAGTTTCTGTGTGCAGTATGACTTGATATTATTGCCATCACTTTCTTTCTTATGAGGACTAACACCCTATTTAATTTAAGTATGGGATTTATCCTCTTAGGAGGAACGCTCACCTTAAGTTAGAGAAATGAATGCCACCATTTATAGATTTATGAGTTAAAAAAAAGACTCACAGGGCTTCCCTGGTGGCGCAGTGGTTGGGAGTCCGCCTGCCGATGCAGGGGACGCGGGTTCGTGCCCTGGTCCGGGAGGATCCCACACGCCGCGGAGCGGCTGGGCCCGTGAGCCATGGCCACTGAGCCTGCGCGTCCGGGGCCTGTGCTCCGCAATGGGAGAGGCCACAGCAGTGAGAGGCCCGCGTACCGCAGAAACAAAAACAAAAACAAAACAAAAAA